AAAGAAATCAGCTATGGTTGTCAAATTCCATAATGGTATAATTTTCCTGTTGGCCCATTTGTTTGATGATCCGCCCTCAACAAACCAAGGAGAGGTTTGCCCAGCGGCGCGGCATAAAGGATCTACCTTTCCAGCTTTCCACAAACTGATTGATTTCACGTACCGGGATAATAAATATAGTAAAAAAAACGACAAAGATCCGCTCAAGTCTTGCGGACTCACTGAAATATTAACGAAGCGCGAGAGATCGGAAACTTTTGAAGAGTAAGATAAGTGATCGATGTATAGTTCACCATACTTGTCGAAAGTAATTCGGACAACCAGTGACGCGACATTGTAAGACGATTCCATAGATTAGACAGCGGCGTTCCTTCAAAGGTGATCTATCTTTCGTTTCGAAAACTCCATGGCTTTAATGTGTCGGGGTGTAGAATTCAAGACAAAACAGAATTCCTGAATTTCACAAACTGGGTATCGCGTGTCATAAAAGCACCGGTCGGGCAGACCACAATGTTTCATCTACGAAAACCCGTCAGTGAATAAGCTCTAGTCACTAGCACGGACGGAAGGAATAGTTTTCAAAATATATCAGGCACCAGCAAAAAGCTGTCGTTACACCGCTTCGTACTTAACATTGTGTTAGATATTCCAATCAAACTATTTACGTAATACTTTCTAATTGCCAAATGCTTTCTTCGGAAAACTCAAAAGACAAAAGCCGTTGGTAATGTTTTGTACAGACTTAACGTAGCGCAGCATTATAATCAACACTCTTTTCAATAATAGGTGCAAACAGCATAGCGAAATGTGGCAATACGCCGACGTTGAGTGAACGCAGAGTACAATAAGGTCATGTACCAGTAGAAAGCAAGAAGTAGCTACCCTATGATCGGCAGGTACGTCCACGCTATTTACGACGTTTAAATATATCCATCAGAGGTCAAAACACAAAACTAAAATACCCCGATAGTAAGCGCATATACACTAACATACATTACCACAAATGCTAAAAGCTGTCGCGGAATTTGGACGATTTTTTCAATGTACTATAGTGAATTAGTGGTCTCGAAAGTTGCGACTTCTCACCGGGGGGTGTCAGGAACACCTATAGGCAGAACTAACATCGGGGTCGCACGCGTATAACACTTTATATCATATAATGTCAAAAAAAAGACTGCTTCATCAAACTAGTTTGTTATGTTATTTCTATGCTTGGTTGACGGTACTTTATTCGAACATTCGTAGTCTTGTAATAGCCCAACAATTGACGCCGTACATCTCTGTTGTGTCATGAAAGACTCCGTCTATACGACCTGTATTGTTGTGCGTTGGAATGACGATACTCTGCGAGTGAGGTCAACTGGAAACCGAAACAGTACATGATATATTACCGTGCAGGCAATATAAAAAAAAATAACCATCCTGTACGACCGGAATCGTACGGGTATTAAAACCGATTACCGTACCAAATTTTGTCCTGCGCCCGGAAAAGCGACCTGCAGTGAAAGTCGGTGTGATCATAAAAAGAAGATTTGGCCTGCGATTCCGTATTGTTATGACTATTTTTAACATTGAACGCATAGTTGAATTGTATCACAATAAAACTTTAGTTAAAGCGTTTCTAAATATATGTACATGCCAAGGCATAGAAAACAAATAATAAGGAAACAAATGAGTATCGTAGACATGTACATTGCATTACATGTAAATGTACATGCAATGTAAATTTTAATTCAATCACTTCAGTAGCGGGAATATTAAACTGGTGACTTAATAGGTAACAACTACTACAGCTACAACTAATTATTAATAAAACAACAACAACAATAAAACAACAATAACAGTATCAGCAGCAACAACAACAAATACCAAGCCGAGTTACATTAATTAAACGCTCGTCGCGCATCGAAATTCATATAGTGAGTTTAGATGAGTCTAAGTTTTGACATTTCTCAGCGCTTATTAAGGCTGCCTAGTAGCTGTCAACGCCAATGTATTAAAGTCCGTAGCGGGGGCACTATAGGCTGGGTCAACATTACACTTTCTAGTGATTCGGAGCTATACAGTTAAAATGAACTACTTCATTTTCAATGAACTGAAAACGTATGACATAAATGTTGACATTTTGTCGATGGTACACCGAGCAACACGTGGGAGAATGAAGTGTGGCGGAGCGTAGTTAACTGTATTATCCACGAGTGTTGTTCTTGCTTTACTGTTGAAGTGCAAATCGCTACTGTATACACCACTGTTCTCCGTTCAAGTTGGTGGTTATTCGTTACACATGGCCTGTCGCATTGTTCTACGTAATAGCGTTGCGTACTGGCGCGTTAATGGCGAATCAATACATCCACTGTACTAGGCAGTGAAAGTTACAAGTCAAAAGATTCAACACTTGGAGGCTACTGTGCGGCGGACCGTACCGCAGAGTCTGAACTACGGCCCCTTAATAAGATCAGAAGAAAAGCTTACCTGATCGGCCTGACTGTGGCATCTTGTACGGATGATTGTGCAACAGGTACACGTGGAGTCGTGTTTTGAGAGTGATAACCGGCCCGATGAATTCGCTGGATCGTCTCACTAGACTTCTCTGTGTGAAGCCAATGAACCGCGACACAAGTATTGGTGATCAACAAAGCAGCAGATTGATTGAGGCCTGTATTAATAAAGAACACATAGATACGATTGGAGTGAGAGGGTTGACACTCAATGGACACGAAAATCAACAACCGTGGGAGGGTGAGAAGAGGGGGCTGAAACGATCTCTTACTTAGGAAGGGCAACTCACGACGATGGCGATGCCAGGCTTCAACGCTGCCAAAACTAAATTGTTTTCCTTGGAGCGACCCGCTCTGACCGAAACCTTAATGTGATTACATATGCAAAGCAGGAGACCTTGTACGTTTCATAGTGAAAG